GGCAAGATATGTGGTTCATGATGCTGACTTCTGTTTCAAGTAAGAGATTTTTACCCATTTCGTTCAATCCTAAATCAACAAATGTTTGAATTGACTTTACCTTCCATACCATACTTATAATGTGCTTGTGCTCACGCATCTATAGGTCAGGAAGCCCATAGTTGTCACAATAATTTCAACTGCACTCTAAATGTCTTTGGAAATCTGAAGCTTCCAAAATACTTCCTGTTGCGTTGTTCATATTATGCGCTGATCCCTTTCAACACACTTTTGCGCAGAATATGACCAACAAACTTAGATGTTGTATGGATAGTTTTATAATGTTAGATGTTTACGGAGTTTTGCATGTTTGTTTTTCTGAGATTAGTAATTGCGTATAGTCAGGTGTTATTTACCTATTGGTTTGCCATAAATCTTGCAGAGATGCGCTAGGGTTGGGAAACAGGGAATATCTGGCAAGCTAAAGGCATGGAAATTGAACATCACCCTTGCATTACATAGTATCGATCCGCACAAAGATTGCCTGAAGTCAAATGCGTAGTTATAGCTTATGAGAATGATGACCAAAGAAATGTTGTAAACGGTGCGAAAACCACCAAATATATGAATAGCAGAAACGAATGCTTATCCGTGGCAGCGGACTTTCTGCTCTTTAAACTATTAAGCCACATATCGGGCTATGAATAGCTTTGACTCACTGGGTGAGATTCAGTGACGTCCGCTACGACAGTGATATCACAATAGAATGAGAGATTTTGTGTCCGCTTAAAATTCGCAGAGAAATGAAAGTGGTCATTTAAGATGAGATGATAATCATTGAAACCAATTTTGAAATTTTGCCTTACATTTGATTAGCATGAGAAACGTAATAAATCAGCCAAAAACCGATGACGTATTGGCAACTACGACGGCTATGAGCAATTGGTAGAGGGTTCTTTTTTAAATTTATTATTTTTGCATTTTAGAAGTTGTTTGCACCAACCACGTGAAGGAATGCAACACGTCCCCTTTGATATCTACCATTTGACTCAGTGTTCAATGAGTT